TGCAATCTGAGACATTGGTGGTAAAAGGTCTGCTGGTGCTCCACGGTTGCTTTGATCGAGGGCAACAATGTTTGGAGCTGTTGGATTCTTCCTGGTAGGCGTGGGTCTGGGTTGTTTGTGTCAGTTTCTGCGAGTTGTAACTGCCTGATAGTATCATGTAGTCGGTTGAGTTGAAGTACCATCAGCCGGTTGATCTGGATGTTTGTATCGCGCAGCTGTGAAATGATCTGGGCATCCAGGGCAACGAGGGAATCCATCGCTATGTCTTCGTCAAAAAATCTGTACACGAGTGGAAGGCTGAGCTAAGTTGAAATAGCCGAGCTGCAAGTACATCAAGGTGGAACCGAAATGGTCATCACGTTCAAGTTCGACAAAAAAGGAACACAGAAAACCATCAAATGCAACAAAAGATGCAACAGTCCAGAATAAATCTCATACATGCACTGAGGAGACGAATTAGACGGAATAACATGGATGGTCTGTACACAGCACTGGCGATGTTTCAGTTCTCGCAAGTTTGATGTGTGTGGCGTGTGTTGAAACAACATGAGCTCCGCTGGCAATCGATCTTGTTTTTGCTGGACTGTGGAAGAAAGCTGTAGTGGTATGTGGTGGGTTGGAGTCTATTGCTCACAACTGCTGAAACGACAAGAAGCAATAAGCCAATATGTAAATATGTACGAATTGACAATAAGGTACAAAGCCATCAATAGTTCTGGATGTTCTTCAGCACCAAGTAGTCCTGGGAAGCTCTGTTTGGACGATCATGTACTGCTGTTTTGTGTTCTATGTCTCTTTGTCTGATGGAGCCGGAAGTTCTGTGGTCATCGTACTGGCGTCCTTTGTGGCTGGAGGAGATGCCGCTGCGTGATGGGATGCTTTATGAGGTGATGATGGTTCCGGTTCCACTTCTGGACTGTCTGGCTGTTGAGGTGTGTAAAGAATTCGCAAGACTTGCCATCGACCTTTGCAATCAAAAGGTGTTTTGTTGAGTGCTTTGGCTATGTACTTCCAACTGGGACGAGCTCGCTTGTTGAGTTTGAAGGCCGCCAGTTTTTCATCTTCGCTGGGTTCCCAGCCTCCATTATCAGGATAAGGAGGTGACTCCGTGAGGATTTGTGCTGGTTTTGTTGATGGTACTGGTTGTGGAGTGGGTACTGGTTGTGGAGGCGAATTGGGCGAGCTGGTGAGGGAAATCGTTGTGATCGGTGGTGTATGTGGTGGTATGGGTTCTGTATTGTTCTTCTGAGGAAGGCGATGGTGAGTCGCCTCGGACTTATGGTGGTGTGGTGAATGCTGATGTGGTGAAGTGGGCGTGTGTGAGGGAGAAGGTTCTGGTTTGCACTCCTTGAAAAGTTTGCCTGTGGTGAGAGGTGGACTGCGACTGCGTGATTGAGTTGGCTGTGGCTGCGGTGGTGGAGGAGTGCGTCTGGTTGGTCGAGTGGTAATGGGTTGGTGGTGTGTATGCTGTGGTGGTTGCGGTGTAAAAAGTGGTAGGTTTTGAAAAGTGGTGGCAATGGATGTGGCTGCTTGAAGGTGTGCCAGAAGGAGTCGATGTGCAAATGCTGTGTCCATAGGTGAAGTCATCGTCGTGATACTCGTCGTAGAGCAAATATAGCGCGGGCGGTTGTCAAGGATCGAGCTCAATATTCACGATAATACAAAATGGCTGCGGGGCAGAATGCAAAGCAGGAAAATCTTGCGGACTCTCTTCGAAATGCTTGAAACCAACTAGGAAGGCTGACATGCTGTAAGTCTGGAAAATTGAAACGATAGTGGTCGTGAAGAAGATCATGTTGTCGGCATCAAGCTGCACAGAAATAAGATATTGGAAGAAAAGGAGGTTGGCTTCGAAGAGTTAGAAAAAACCAAAATCGATATCAAAAACCAGGCAAGCCGGCTGAGATTGTTTGAGGCTAGGTCGTCGTCCGGGATATGGGGTGAAAAAGAACCTCGTGAGCTGAATAGGTTGAATTAAATGAAACTGAGCGGTGGCTTTGCATCGCTTTTCCAGGCTATCCCTTTTATTCTGGAATGTTTGGGATGAGCCACACAGCATTTTCCTGGGGTGTATTTTACAATCCCCTCTCCTCTGAGCAGCAAGTCGTTCGCTGCGGATTCGCCACCATGAGTGACTTTCTGGCCGTGTCCATAGGCTTTGATCGTCAAAATGAGGCCGCTACGGTTCTTGGCCATATTGGAAGCATTGAAGAGGACGCGTGCAGCTTCAGCAGCGTCATGGGGTTCATAGTTCGACAGTTCGAACGCCTGGCAAAAATAGCCCACGTTGTGATCATCATGTAGAATGGATCGCACGATTTCTCCTGCTTCAAGTATTGAAATGATGTTGCCCTCCTCACTAACGTGTTCCGCAAAAATGTGCTTTATGGGTGGTATGTTCAGCGCTTCTCTCCGTGTAGGAGGAAGGATCGGGGCGTCGCCCCTGCTCGCTAATGTGGGGATTGTGAGTAGTAGGAATGAGTAATGTTCTTCTTTGTTGGTGTCGTCGCTCCATTTTGTGTGTGTGAGAAGTTGTAGGTCGGTAAAGTGGGTGCTGTTGAGATGAGCTGCACCAAGTACCTTGGCAACGTAGGAAATCATGGGTTCATTTTTTACATCAAGTGCTTGTGCGTAGTGGTTGAGCCATTGGAAGACATCCAATTGTGCTGGATCAGTGGGTGGTTGGAATTTTGGAGGAGGCAAGTTGTGAGGTCGACGTTGTACTGGAACTGTAGGTAATGGTGGTGGTGGCGGTGTAGGTGTCTGTTTTGTGGAATGTTTGGGTGTGAAATGTGGGTTGGGTTTGAGTGTGATGCTGGAAGTACGGTGAGTTGACTCTGGAGTGTGTTTTGCAGTGGTAGCGGTAGTGATGTTTTGTCTGGGAGTGTGAGCATTGTCCTGGGTGATTGCTGGTGATGGTGATGTTTGTCTGTCTGCAGGCTTGGATTGTGGTTGAGAACTAGCCACGGATTGTGTGGCGGAGCTTCGACGTCGTGGTAGTGGAGAGCGTGTAGTGCGTAGTGAGCGAGTGCGGCTCCTGGATCTGGATGTAGCTTGTGATGGTGCAATGGTGGGAACGGCTGGAAAGGCTGAGTAGCGGTGATGTTCAGGTGTGCGTGGTGGTGAGCGATCTGGGTCGCGCCAAATGCCTCTTGTAGTGCTAAGTGTGGGTGCAATGGAAGGTGTTGGCTTGGTAGTGCGTGGTATGTGGTGTGGTGGCGGAGGCTGTGCGGGTGTGGTGATGGTTGCGGAAGCCGGTTGAGTAGCCGCTGGTGGGGCTGTTGGAGTGTGAGGTGGTGGTGGTGGAGTAGGTGGGGCTAGCTGTGGTGGAGTGATTGTTGCTGGATCAGGTGCTCGTGCTTGTGGTAAATCAGGTGCTTGTGGTGGTGGTTGAAGTGATGGTGCGGCTGGGGATTGATTTGTCGTGTGTGGTGATGGATGTAGTTGATGTGATAGATGTGGTTGAGGAGGCAGAAGTGGTGGTTGAGGTTGAGATTGAAGTGGCAATGTGGGATGTGTGTGAGCTTGGGATTGTGGTGGTTGTATTGTGAGATGCGGATGTTGTTGCGAAAGTTGGGTAGTGTCGAAAGGAACCGTGGGTTGTACTGGAAAATGTGCCTGCAATTGATGTGGTTGGATGTACTGAGCATGAGGTGGAGGTGGAGTGGGAAATGGATAATGATGTGAGGTTGGGTGTTGTGGTGGAGTCGGTGGTAGTGTTGGAAAAGGTTGTGGTGGAGCCTGTGGTGGGTATTGAATCCAATGGGGTTGTGCAGGTTGTGGTTGCTGATGGATGTGGCGGTAAGGAATAGGGCCAGGGATACGTCATGGCTGCTCGGCAAGTCAGAGACCATCAAAATATGTATGTATGAAAATAAATAAATAGAGGTCCGTGAGGTCGAAAAAGTTGTGAAGTGTATTTACTGACCGCAATTAAACTCTGGAAAATTGAATTAAAACTTGAAAAGTTAAAAGGATTTGAAAGGAATGGATTTCCGGGTGAAACATTTTCAGTTAACTCTGCAGTGAGATTCAGAAAGGATTTCAGTGTACTCTGCAGTAATCTTCACATGTGCGGGGTGAGACGATCCAAGCTGATTTCGAGCAGGTAAAATTCAGTCAAAGGAACTTCAGAGAGAATTCAGAAAACTTACTCCCTCGGTGAGGAGTGAGAAGGTTCTCGCGGTAACGGCGCCCCGTAGGGATCACACAGCTTACCACAGTGGGAAGAAGCTGCGAAAACACACTTGAGAAGGTTGCTCCGTGGAGCGTGATTTCAGGCTGCTTCGCGGTGTGCATTAGCCCTTTAGGTGAATACTTAGCCCTTGACTTGATTCAACGAAAAGAAGTGCAAAGTCCGCTCACTTGAATGTTTCAACAAGAAGTATTAATTTAGTGTATATTAAAAATTGCAGGTACACAGTCAGACGTCTCTGACTGCTTCCCATGACATCACTAGCTTCGTTGGCCAGCGTCGTGATGCCATGCGCTGGCCCCCTGCTACTGTACAGTGGTTGGACGATTCGTAGGGTAGGGTAGAACGAGAACTAGAGTAGTGTCCTTGGAAACAGGAGTGGACACACACACACACAGGCACAACGTTACATGATATTCCTTCTTCGGGCACGTTGGAAAATAACAAGGCTCCTCCCAGCAGTCAGTGCAAAAACGGTGGTCTTCCACCGTCTGCGACATTTCCTTGGATAGAACTATTCTTCGGAACTTGCGACGGAAGAGGTTTTGAACAGCTTCCCCCAAGGTTTCGTGACGGCAAAGCGTCCCAGTGTCTGCTTTGTCGGAGAACGCCATGCAAACAGGAAAAGGTCATGAAAGCAAATTAAAAGCAACCCAAGTTCAAAATTGCATTCTGGGCAATCCTTCGGTGATTGTGATTTGTTTTGAGCACTGTGAACCTGTGAGCGCCCTTCTATGAGATCTGATTCTTCCCCTCCCGGTGATTTGGCGCCATCTGAGTAGCCAACCCGCTGCAGCTCAGTCACGCTCATGTTCCGCCCGCTCTGCAGCTTGTCACGGTGGGGCACGTGTGGGGGAACTAGAGTGTGTTCCTGCAGTTGCTGAAAATTGGTTCCCCCTAGCCCGTCCCTGTGCCAACGCAACACACAACTGTCTGACTTTGCGCAGATGCGCAGAGCAATGCCCAGTCCTTGTCGGTTAAGCAAATGACACAGGGCCGCTTTGTCTCCTGGGCGCGTTGCTTCAACAGACTCAAAGCAGTGGCACATCACTGAGGAGCACATCACTGCACATCATATTCACACATGCACAAAGAGACAAATAATGTTGACCTCATAATAATAAATTGCACGTGAATAATGCTAAATCTTTTCAAACACCAATAATAAATGGCCCTCAAATAATACTACACTTTTTTCTGGACCCTGATTTTCAGCTGCTTCCAGACCTTGATTCATCCAAGCTGATTCTGAGCTTTCACCTGATTCCAAAATTTGATTATTTGGTGGTTTCCTTTACAATTCTTTTAGATTTCCTTTTGATTGAAACAGCTTTAGCTTTGTTGAAGGCCATCCTTTCTGGATTTCTGATTTGGCTGCTGCATTTTCCTTTTATATAAATTTGCTTTTTTGGGCATTGCCATTTGTCACCTGAAATCAACCCACAAAGACCACCCCCCACGAGCAGCCCAAACCTTTATTACTCCAGACCTCAAATAATACTAAACAATCCCTGGCTGGTTCTTTTGGCGGTTTCCTTTACAATTCCTATAGATGTCCTTTTGGTTGAACAGCTTGAGCTTTATTGAAGGCAATCCTTTCTGGATGTCTGATTTGGCTGCTGCATTGTCCTTTTAAAATTGCTTGTTTGGGCATTGCAATTTGCAACCTGAAATCACCCCACAAAGACCACCCCCCACAAGCAGCCCAAACCTTCAATGACGTCAGACCTCAATTTAATACTAAAAAATCCCTGGGTGGTTCTTTTGGTGGTTGCCTTTCCAAGTCCTTTTGATGTCCTTTTGGTTGAAAAGCTTTAGCTTTATTGAA